TTAGAGAAATGCCTACAAAAATCAACTCAATTAGTTAATTTAGGGACCCATATATGCTTGGGTTCATTTTCAAAAAAAGGAATAAATCCATGATCATTTTGCATAGATGATTGTGTATATTTTGTGTCTGACTATCCAAACATATGTCGAATTTGAATCTGAATGAGCACGTTTTGCATAATAATCAAAAGATATGTCCATGTTTGTTAAAATAATGACACCGCAAATTCGTATTTGCACAGAATCTTTTTGTTTGTTGATGATGATGTGGACGATTAATATTTGCACGAGTATGATTATTTAAGTGATACATTTTCTCTAACTTTGAAATTAATACATAATGATCACATGAAATACTCTTAGAAATATTATTTTTTTTCTAGAGTGATTCATATTAAACTCAATTTATTATATTATCTAAATATATATGACATTTTTCTAGCTTAAGATGTTTATTTCTTAATTTTTTTATATTCACTATGCAACTCATTGAATGTCTCATCTAACTCTCTATATGATAAAATCATTATCACTTACATACTTTTGGGCGTCCTGCAAACAAAACCTCATACTCCACTTGGATGTTAGTCCATGGAAAATTTACCTCGATTGAGTGGTAAACGATTTCCCCTGCGGGACTGCACAGAAAAATTCCAAGTTCAGCACTTGATTGGTCAGATGTCCCATCAGTAAACAAGGTCCAAGTCAATCCGTCGATCGGTAGATCCTCGTTCTCCCCTCTTGATTCAAAGAAATCTGCCAGAAAATCTACAACCACTCGTGCTTTTATTGTCGATCGAGGGACATAGGAGATATCAAACTCGTTCAGTTCCACAGCTCATTTGAATAGCCGACCGAAATGCCCTGATCTGGTAAGAATAGATTTTAATGGGTGATCTGTGATAAGTTGTATGGGATGTACCTGAAAATATGATCGGAGCCTCTGTGCTGAAGTGACCAAGGCAAAGGTCAATTTCTCCATTATGGCATATCGGAGTTCAGCTCCTTTAAAAACTTGGTCGGTGCAGTACATTAGATGCTACTTTCCGAGCTATTCTCTGACCAAGACTGAACTGACGGCTTTGGGGCCGACCCTGAGGTAAAGATAAAGCTTTTCTTTCGGCTTTGGGCTCTGAAAGAGGGGAGGAGGCAAGGACTTGTTTGAGATTCCTGAAGACCTCTTCGCATTCTGGTGTTCATTTGAAGTATTTGGCTCTCCTGGGTACTTTAAAGAATGGGGCGCACTTATCACCTGACTTTGAGATGAACCTGCTCATACCAATGATTCGACCGGTTAGCTTCCAGATTTCCTTGGTATTTTTAGGGAGGGACATATTGAAGAGTGTTTGGATCTTTTCCGGGTTGGCCTTTATGCCTTCAAGGGTAGCAAATACCCTGAAATTTCTCAGTCGCGGCCCCAAAAGTGCACTTCAGTGGGTTTAGTTTTATGTTAAATTTTTTAAGCGTTAGAAAAGTTTATTTTAAATCCTCAATGTGATGCTCAACCAACTGACTTTTAACCAGTAAATCATCGACATACACCTCAATGTTCCTTCCTTTTTTATTAGCAAAAATTACATCCATGGGGTGTTGGTAAGTCGCTCAGACATTTTAAGCCCAAAAAACATCACATTATAACAAAAAAACTCCCTCACAAAAAAAGTGATTTTCTCCACGTCAGATGGGTGCATCTTGATCTGATAGTGCCCGAAAAATGTATGAAGGAAACTAAGAACTGAGTGGCCGACCGTCAAATCCACCGGGGCATCGATTCTCGGTAGGGGATAGCGAGTTTTTTGGACAAGCGGAGTTCAGATTGGTGAAGTCCACGCATATCCTCCACTTTTTGTTGGCCTTCTGAATCATTACCATGTTGAAAACCCATGTGAGGCATTGTATCTCCCGAATGTACCCTACCTCCACTAGCTTTCGCACTCTCTCGAATGGATCCTGCCAACGACATGGTCGAACTCCTGATCTCCTGTTTCATGAGTCAAGCCGATGGATCAATGTTCAACCTGTGTCACACAACATCGTTTGACACGTCTGGCGTCTCAGAGGTCGTTCATGCAAAAACATCATATTTTCTCGAAGGTTTTGATCAGCAACTCCCTGTGACCTGCATCAAAAGCTTCGCTTATCAAAAAGCATCTAGCTGGTTCTCCTTCGACCGTCAAAATCTTGCGAGTGGTCTCGAAACCACTTTCCCCGCATTTTGGATATTCAGCGGATCGTGCTCTACGTTGCTTATAGCCATCAAGTAGCAGACCTAGAACTGCTCCAAGTCACTCCTGATTTCCAGGAAACTTGGCAGCGACGTGGTATGTAGAGATTATTGCTCTGAAATTGTTCAGCAGCAGTTGGTCGAATATAGCATTATAAGTTGGGGACAAATCCAACACAAGAAAAATTTATGTGAGCGTAAATTATTTTTTGTTTTCTCCTCAACTTGTGGGGAGCCCGATCACTCCCACTGCTTCCTTCGTTTCACCTGAGAATCCATATAGAGGACCGGCCGGTGCAGTCATCCGATCGGCATTGAGGCTTAGCCTGTCAAATACCTATTTGAATTCTACGGTCAATATAACTCCTTGTATCAATGAGAATACTCCATACTTAGTAATTGTTTATTAATGTTGTTATTACAATGGCGTCGTTGTATGGGTTTCCCTTTTGGGGAACAGCCTCGTCAATGAAATAGATAGGCGTATAACCCTTAGGTTTCATGGCAAAGGTGGCGACGCAGAGTTCCCATGTTTGTTATCTCTTCCAGCTTGTCCTCCTAGGTGGATCGCTTCTTCCGAAGTTTGCGGGCACTTACCCCGCAATGTGAATGGCGTTGGTGCAAATGGGCCCATCGGTCGCTCCTCCCACGGAAGTCTTGCTTTGCCTTAGAGTCACGGCTCCAGGGGCAAAATTCTTTCAACTCCCCCCCCCCCCCCATTCCCTCCCTTCGTAGGTGTCTGCACTCTTCTATGTCGTGTTCGTGATTTTTGTAATAAGTATTTTCTACTATCCCGAAGAAAAACTCCAACCCTGGCCGGCGTTGCTTTCCTGAAGAACTACTTATAATGGATGGCGTCCACTATCTCCTCCATGGATACCCTAAGAGGGGTTTCACGAGTAACCCTATGATTATATTGGGGGTGTTCACAATGGTACAATGATTGGTAGTTCTGGGCCTTGGTCTATTGCCTCTAGTCCTCCCGACGTTCGGTGGAGTGATTGTCGGGGTGACCCTCGTAGCAAGTGAGGTTTGACGGTCGTGCGATTTATCTGAGTTGTCCTCTGTTGTCTTGTGGTGCTCTTTTTTGGTGTCTTTGTTGGGCTTGCTCAGGGGCGTTCTCATAGGCGACGATGTATTTGTTGACCATCTCTAACAGCTCGGTCAAGCTTTGTGGCTCTGCGAGTTTGAGGTCAAAACGGAACCTCTCCGACCTCACTCCTTACGTCGCGCGGCCTGGGCCATGTCGGGCTTCAAGTCTTTTAACATCAAATGTTTCGCTCGGGAAGCATGCGAAAAACAATTGCAAGCTCTTGTTGCCCCTCTGCTTCAACTGCCACAGCGATCGAGCGCTCTTCTTAAACCTCATGGCACTGATAAATTAAGAAAGGAAAAGTCTTCTAAGCTTCGCAAAATAGGCGATTACCCCCGAAAGGAATCTGTTGAACCACCTTAATGTTGTCGATCTCAGCGTCGTAAAGAAAAGCTTACACTTGAAAGCGTCATAAATTTTCAACGGGCAGATGGACAATTTGAATGAAGCGAGACGGTCGTTGGGATCCACCCATCCTTTATACGCTCTAAGACCGGCATCTTGAACTTCTCCGGGGGTTCAACTTCGGAGACCTGTATGAAGAAAGCGTTCTCCGACTATCTTTGTAACTCGGTCCGCACCGGTCGGTTCCTCTCCTCCACGTGGGCGAATCATATGTTGTCTTGGTATAGACCGTTGTTGAGCTTTTCCCACAGGTGGATCCCCTTCTTCCATTGTTGGTTGGCGGTTCCCCTTGAGTGGAGTTGAGTGCTCCTTGTCATGTGGGCTCTTCTCATGGAACTGGGGCTGCTGCTAGAGCAGCAACCACCATAAAAACTTCTGCTAACTTTCCTGACATCTGGTTGGTGATCTGAGTTCTCAAATTTTGCAGGTCTTGTTGAACTAATTCTTTCATAAACTCTCAGGTGCATGTTGCTTCTCCTTCGTTCCTCTGTCTAGACTCCCCCTATTGTTGTTGTTAGGCTACTCTTCTTGTTGACAACATGTTTCCAAGCTCACCGCACCTTAAATAATGTTGAATCCAAAAATATCTGGAAAACACACCCAGTGAATGGAACTTTTCTTAGGAAGTGATTAAAAGAGAGAGTAGTAGTAGACAGACAAAAGATGTCCCTTATTCATAATATGAACGCCTAATTATAAGCCTAGGTCTCAATATTATAGAAATACATATTAACCCCCTCATTAACTTTTAAGGGGTGTTTTTTTTATAATTATAAAGTTATTTACATATAATAAAATCGATGATCGATTCGATTGATGAGGGTCGTCGATCATCTGTCAAGCATTAGTTAGGTCGATATATAGTCCGAAATAGTGCTCCCGTCGATCGTTTTGAAGGTTAATAATTATTGCACTACGGGATTTTCTCTTAGCGTCTTCTTCCAATCATTCGGATAAGGTACCTCCTTCACCAATACTCATTTGGAAACGAATGTCGAAGGCTATGCTCGATCGTCCGCATCTTCTTCTTGAGTCCGCTCATCTATTTTGAGATTCGTGTTGTCAATCTTTATGCATACAGCTATGAATATAAATAAGGAGATTTGAGTGTTAATATAAATCAATAGAATTCGTGCAATGTATGTAAACTATCCATAGAAAAAACATACACTAGAGTTTTATCATAATAAAATTAGGAAAAGAAACTCTCAATTCTTTGTGAAGACTCGCCAACAAACAAAACAAAAAAACACATTACAAAAATAAAATAAAGCCCACCTTTCTATCATGTAGTCAAGAGCATCTAGTGTGGTCCCATACTCATCTTGCAGATATACCCTCCAACCACTGCACAAATAATTTAGCAACAAAAGCTCTTCAATACAGATGAACTTTCCTATAACAGTTACCAGAAAGGAAAAAAAAGAACGTAGCGTGAATAAAAAGTTCAAAGTTACTTTTGTGTGCTACTAGTGCAAAGTTCCGAACAATTACAAAAGTATTTAATGAACATCACATGATTTAAAACATGAGGCAAAATGTGAAAATAAAATTGGCAATTTCAAGTAACTTTTAAGCTCTGCATGTTTGCAATAATTCATATAGACCAAAATTTTTATAGTATAGAATTATGTAGGTGACGATACAAGTTATAGTTGATGTAAGCAAGATGTCTCCATCACACAACAATTTTTTAAAATTAATTTTAAAACAAAATAGATTAAGGTTATATGCCTTGGGTTATTTGTATTCCTAAACAGTCATTTGATGTTTGGTTATAATGAAATAATTATCATTATTAAGTATAATATCATTCAATAATAATGATAAGCTTATTATTAATAGGTCGAGTTTTAATAGTAAATGGATCATTTTTAATTAATTTGTGCTGGTTGACCATAATGCAAATGCAATTACATGTAAAATAAGTAGATTAGATCATCAGCTAATAAAATTAAGATTCAAATGTCTAAATGTGGCACAAAAACTTAAAAGAATGGAAAGCTCCTGGACTTTTGGAAAGAGTTTCAAATTTCTAAAATGCAAGATAGGTCCAGATCGAGACAGTTTAGCATGATAGAAAAGAAAGGGTTCAAGCATAGGTGTCTACCTCGAACCAAAGTGTCCAACTACATAATGTGGTCAAATAAAGTAATGACCTAGTTGAAATTGCATGATTAAGTGGGCATGATTGAACTCAAAAGAGTTTCCTAGAAGGAAGGCCATAGGATGATAACAAGGTTGAGAGGTCTTAACCGTACTAAGAATAACTTAGAGAGAATTAACAAGTCAAGATAAGGACAATCAAATGTATACAATCAAACTGAATAATTTCCTAGCCAAAAAAGCAAAATTAAAATAGTGAAGTAGCAAATATAAGCAGGCATGGGCATGACTATAAAAAGGTCAAGTTAGTCCAAAGAATACTAGTCTAAGTGGATCCTCGGTCAAACAACTATGATTGAGAAATATAAATTGTATAAATGATAAACTCAAATAAAATGGTATGACCTAATTTGAAAAATAAGTTAGCTGAGAGTGCATAGCGAAGCTAGGGATTGAGTTAAGTTGACAATCATGGTGATATATGCATGATGATTATGGACCAAAAGATCTCTAGAAGTATTTCATCAGGTATAATGACATGCAATATAATTTGAACTTAAAAAAAACTTAAGTAGATGGTCATATTATGATGTGCAGGTTATCCTATGATATGTGATCCCTTACCAATCAACCTATCAACAATGGCAAGCCAATAAACTAAAAAAAACTGTGGGGTTTAAATAAAATAAACTAAAATTAATAGCTATTTGGTTAATATTATCATAATATGATTCTAAATGACACAGTTTTATAGCTCTTAGAAGTTGTTTAGGTAGTGGATTTTAGGGGGAGGTAGTTGTGGAAAGATATGAGAAGAATAATAAGGCAGTTGGACAGATACACCACTGAGGATACAACACTCCTTAGACAAAAAAATCAGAGAATAAAATCTCCAAAAACACCTAAACAAAGCTAATCTCTCAAAAACACCTAAACAAAGCTAATCTCTCAAAACTAGCAAAATACATGCATAAGCAGTCTCAAAATAGAAATAACCCTAATTAGAGATCATGGAATAGGAAGAAAAATCAAAAAAAGTAAAACATCGTGCATAAATTGATAACTGGACAAAATTCCAGTGTTCGGTTCTCCCCTGATCGTGAAAACTGTAGATTTTTACAGGTATAGCAAAAATCCCGCAAGCAATAGCTCAGGATGCTTGGTACTGTGGCTTTGTGGGATGCTCCTGCATCATTCTCCCCAGCTAAGAGAAGTTTTTTTTTCTGATATAGAAATACACGAATCCTGCTATCAAATGTAATTTCCAACAAAGTACCTAAGGAGATTTCCAGGACTATGTTTCACCACCCAATTTGGCCATCTATCTATGAATGCGCTGATGAATTGAGTTGTATCTTAGTATTCATTTCAATTCCAAAATTCACTCAATCTCAAGTGATGATATATTGCACCTCCCTATGTAGTGGTAACCTAAGAGGTAGGCTATAAATTAGTCAATCCTGAAATCCTCCTAGATAGAGTTCTCATGTGTCTGATATCAACTCATCGAACTCATTACTTTCTAGGACAATCAAATTAGTCTTGTTGGCATCTCTCTCATGGGCTCAACATAAATCACTAGCATCTCTCTCTCATCAGCTGCAAGCAGATACTCCTCTTTGAAGTTTTCATTCTCTCCCATGTCACTGTGCATTTCTTCAGCTGATCCCGGCTCAGTGAAAAATATCAATTTTTTATTTGGGCAATCTGATACAATGTGCCCAAAACTGTGACACTTAAAGCGTTTTCTGGCTGGGATAAATTTAAGTGTGTTTGTTGTCTCCACTTTTTCTCCACTATGAACTGGTTTTTCCTCGGGCGGGGTCGGCCGGGATGCTCTACTGAGGGTACTCTTGATGCTTAATCCTAGGGTTGAACTCTGCATGTAAAGTGCGACAGTCACCTGATGATGTTGTTGTTTCTTCACTTTTAAAGCTAGCGAGTATAAAACAATACGAGTGCAACTACACTACAGTACTAATAGAAAACCTCAATCCTCTAAGATATATCGCAATTGTGTGCTCATTTGGTTCTACGAACTCAAATTTCAGCATGAGTTGATCAAATTCAATTGTATATTCCTCCACAGAACAATCTTGGCCATGACCTAAGCATATTGGCCATTAATGCCATCTCAGGTTGACTAGTCAAAAGCAAAAGAATTTTTTGGATCAGATGAACTCCTGAAGATGCATTAAGGTTCTTTGGACTTTCTCTTCCCAAAAATTTTTTCTCCCCATCTGATCACCCTCAAACCAAGTTTATAAGAGACTTATTCATGTCTTTCCTTCCTCCAATTTCTATCTGTCCTGATAATTAGGATAGGTTTGGGGCCATGCCAAGAGTCAACTATAGATGTACCTGGCTCAGGAATTCGAAGAGATGTTGTTGATTGAATGTAGTAATCATCATCCACATTATCATAATCCAATAATAACCCTTAGTAAATAGGTTTACCATGAGTTGATAAACATGTTGAACTTAACTCTAGGTGTTAATTAATCAATAGAATTAAATGGTCTAATTAATTTCATCAATAAATAAATAGATTTCACTTAATGCTCAAATTGGTTTAATTCGATCATAATGACCCATTTGACATAATTAATGTTATTAAATGGCTAGATTTGATGAGAGTTACCTTTCTAACATTGTAAACAAGATTTACACCCATTGGTTTGATTTAATTTGACCATTTCAATATATTTGGCTCAATAATGATGGAGAAGTTCAGTTAATGGGTCTCAATGACCCATTGGACCAAATTGGGCCAAATGTGTTTGACCAAGGTCAAGTCATGTTAAAGTGAACCTAAGGATGTTCCGCATCCAATTAATCAAACCAATTTCATGTTTTTGTCAAGTTGGCTCAACTGACCCATTTCAATTCAAATTGATCAAATGTAATCATTTGGGTACATTTGGGGTCTAAGGAGCAATTTTGAGTGTGTATAACCTACGGATGTTATCATATTAGTATAAAGTCTATGTTAGTTAGTTTAGACATCTAATCACAACATAACCAGATTTCCCCATTTTAGGGAGATTTGAGTGCATTTAGCCTACCAATTAGCCATCAAAGTGATGCCAATTGGGACCTAGAAGGCTCTTATACTGACCTTTAAAGTATCTCAAAGTTTATCTAACATTCGAGAAGAAAATTGAATGACAATTTATACCTACCAGAAACCATTGTGCTTAAACGTGGATAAGACCTGCCTTAGAATGTGCTACAACAAACCTAATGAATGATCATGATTTGAGTATTGACATTTTTATATCAAAATTGATAAACTCAAGCTAAAATTACCAAATGTTTAACCAGAACATTGTTCTTCGAGTCATGCAAAACCTACTGGAACTGCTTATGGTTGCATGACCCTCAAAATTGGGAAGAGGGGAGGAGGGAGGGGTGAGGGTCACAACCCCCACGTCTATTCAAGGTAGAGGCAATTTTAAGTAATGACTCCTAACTATTTAAGTATTTAAACATTTTAGATATGAAACAAATACAACAACAACAACAAGCTTTAGTGTGGCCTACCGACTACATGAATCCTTTCTCTCCATTGTCTTAAAACCAAATAATGACAAAAAAAAGAGTATAGAAAGGAAGCTTCAAATAAAATCTAGAAAACAAACAATGAAAAAAATCCTATGGCAAGAAACAAAGGCGAAAATCATACCGCTCAGCAGCTTGGACCGCAATCCTACCAGCCATGATGCGAACTTTGTTGGATATTCAAGGTAGAGGCAATTTTAAGTAATGACTCCTAACTATTTAAGTATTTAAACATTTTAGATATGAAACAAATACAACAACAACAACAAGCTTTAGTGTGGCCTACCGACTACATGAATCCTTTCTCTCCATTGTCTTAAAACCAAATAATGACAAAAAAAAGAGTATAGAAAGGAAGCTTCAAATAAAATCTAGAAAACAAACAATGAAAAAAATCCTATGGCAAGAAACAAAGGCGAAAATCATACCGCTCAGCAGCTTGGACCGCAATCCTACCAGCCATGATGCGAACTTTGTTGGATATTCAAGGTAGAGGCAATTTTAAGTAATGACTCCTAACTATTTAAGTATTTAAACATTTTAGATATGAAACAAATACAACAACCACAAGCTTTAGTGTGGCCTACCCACTACATGAATCCTTTCTCTCCATTGTCTTAAAACCAAATAATGACAAAAAAAAAGAGTATAGAAAGGAAGCTTCAAATAAAATCTAGAAAACAATCAATGAAAAAAATCCTATGCCAAGAAACAAAAGCGAAAATCATACCGCTCAGCAGCTTGGACAGCAATCCTACCAGCTATGCTGCGAACTTTGTTGGACTGCGGGGTCTCCTTACCATCATGAGACTTGGGAAGCCCTATAATGAATTCATCGGCTTCCTAACCACAGTGTTTTGTAAATTAGAGCATTGGAAGTACCAAGAATCGGGAAAATCGAAACTGGAACCAAGAAGAGACCTCCATCTCGGCAATTTTGAGAAGGCGCATCTCCAGTTTCTTCCCCCGAAGATCCAAAACCTGTCGATCAGGAACTTGCATAAGACCCAGAAAACAGAAAGCCGAAGACAAATAAGAAGAGTAGTAGCAGTATTTTGAGCAGTTACTGTAAGGGGACGAGGGAAGAAGCCTTTCCCGAGAGCGAGGCCAGTGTGTGAGGAGCCAAGATCGACCCCAAGGCTGAAACCTCCGCCCCGCCAGGAGGGGTAGCTGCGTCGATGGAGAGCGTTAGGCGGTATCACCCCTCCTCCACCAGTTGTCGTCGGGAAGGAGGACAATCCCCTAACCCTAATTCCACATCGAATAAGATAATGCTTTGTTGAGATGCAATCCATGACATTGACATTAGTAGGATATAGCAACGCAGCCTGCGGCGGCACAAGTGGATTCGCCTGCAACATCTCAGCTCGGGATGGCAGTGCGATCTCTCGGCATCCGTTAGCTATATATATATATATATATATATATATATATTTTATTTTTTTATTTTTTTTGCTGTTTATTTAAAATATGTGGTAAGTTGTTGTTGATAAATTTACTATTTATTATTTTTTATAATTTTAAAATAATATTATTTTTGAATAAATAACATTTTTGTTCTTGTAATATAATATTGTTCAGCACAATCTATTCATAAAAGCAAATGTTCAATTCAAACATTATAAAGAAAAAACGAACAACTCATTGAACAATAAGTAACACGATAATCAAAATTAAAAAATAATAATTAATATAATAATTAATGATATGATTGATGTGTGCTTGAAAATTCGTGGTGGTAGAGTAATGGATTATTATTTTAGCGTTATACGAGAATTCAACACACACACAAATGAAATAGTAACAAGTAGTGACGACTCCATAAATTTTTATATGGAAAACCCAGAAAGGGAAAAAACTATGGGGTCTCACACAGTTGCAAAAATCTACTATTGATTGATTATTACATAAATCTTTTGTCCCGCAGACGGAAATGAGTAACTATATTTTTCAAATTACAGTATCGAATGTCGGCATCTGATTGATGCTAATTGATGACGATTGATAGTGGTCGACGGAGGTCGGCGGTGGTCGATTGCGGTTTACGAAAGTCGACGGAGGTCAGCGGCTGCAAGCGGTGGTCGACGGAGTTTGGTGGTGGTCGGCAGCTAGGGGTGTAAACAAACCGAACACGAACGAACAGAGCTTGTGTTCGTGTTCGGTTCGTTTGATATTTATTTTGTTTGAAATAAGCTCAAGTTAGAAATTGTTCGTGAAGTCACTGTTCGTGTTCGTTTCTTAACGAACGAGTCGAGCATGGGCTGTTCGCGAACGGCGAGCCAGTTTGACATCCCTAATATTAATATATATAAATAGTATATTATATTAATCATATAACTTATATTATATAAATATATAATATCTATATTAGTATATTACTAATATAGTATATTAATATGTTATTATTATTAATTTATTATATATTATAATTTATAAAATTTAATTTTTTAAAATATCATGTTTTATACATAATTATTTGAAATTATTTTATATTTCAAACAATAACAATTCGAACACGAACGAACGAATCACTGTTCATGTTTGATTCGTTTAACTAACCGAACGAAAAAAATTTGTTTGTGTTCGTCTCATTTACTTATCGAACGAATCGAACACAAACTCATTGACGAACCGAACATGAACTGTTCGCGAACAACGAGCTTTTTTGATAGCCCTATCGGCAGCGGTCGGAGGTAATGCTGAGCTGCAGCTCTTTCTCAAGACCTCAAGCTCTCTCTTTAGGCTTCACCCCCCTCATGAAAGGGGAGGGGCTCTATTAATATTATTCTGAGTATAATTAATGCATGAATATGAACTATTTAGATCGAACGGTCCAGAAAGCTTCTCTCAATCAAACGGCGATTAATGGACATTTAGGTCCCTAAATGATGTCAGAATTGAGTGATCTTAGGCTCGTTGAATTCTTCTTGTCGAAATGCTCGATTCTACTATAACCTTACTAGACTTGACATATGTTTGATTTTCCAAGCGTGTCCAGATATCTTTCAACAATAGTTTAATGACTTGATATGGGCTTGATTTGACTCAAATTGGACTAAATTTAATATCATTGGGTCTGTCTCATCGAGCCGGTCAGTTTAACAGTAAGTTTACTGAAATTAGAGCTCTGGATGATTGTTAATCAAAGTTTGAAAGTTTATTGCTAAAAAAATTACATCGAGATTCGTGTTGAATGATAAAAATTTGTTGGTGGCATATCAATGATAATATTATTTTTAAAATGCATTTGGTGTATGTCATGAGATAAGTCGTTATTCAAGAAAACTCTCATCATCGTTCACTATCGACGGTGAAATCCTCCAACTCATCTGCCCACCTAAAGAAGTCACATTTTTTTATTCTTATCCGTGGACATTTTTAAGCTTTTCTCCTGTAATTATGTGGTTATCACAAAGTAAGCATGTAACATTGGAAGTAATCCGCAGTAGAAGTACAATACTCTAAAGATACCAGAATTCTTCGAGCTCGTATTTCCTGGAAACTTAATAACCACAAAATACCGACACTTAGATGCAACATTAGTGAAAATGAATAATAGAAGCAATAAATTAAAGCTTTATACAGCTGTGAGATCTCAGAGAATACGATATATAAACCAACGAATCTATCACTACGAGAAACATCATATCTTATAAAAAAATGTTCATGATTTTCTTTAAACTATGTTACATATGCATATGAAAAAATCAATTTTCAAAAAAAAAAAACATCAAGAAAAACCTAAAATAAGTAGCACTAAAAATGGAAAGGAACTTGGTTGTTTTCATTGTAATTTCACATGTGTCAAAAACCAATAGCATCATATAGGCCATTTAGAAGAACTTTTAAGGTCAAATACATCATCATAAACCTCTAAGAAAAATGCAATGTTAGATTACATATTATATTGACGTTTGCCTCATCGGTCATCTAAGTGGAAAATAATCCATGCATAATAACTATAAATAAAATTGAGATTTAAAATATACATCACTTGCATTAAATATCGATACACCAAACAATAAATGTTTTCACAACACATTGTAAGTAAGGTTGCAACCAAAAAACAAACAATCCCTTCATTCGACCACCAACTATGACATTTGTAATTCGCTCTCTCAACTTTATCATCTACCCCCCACACTTTCCCTATCCTGGGTGCAAGTCTCATGCAATTCATCTTCAACATATGATAAAGTTTATCATAAGCGATATTTATTTGCTTCAATAGGGACATGTGAATGATTGTCATTAGTTATATAGAAATCAATGTTGTTAAGCGAAGAATGTTGTCGAATATAATTGTGTAAAGTCATTGTGTCGACTACAATCTGTACTTGTTTGTGAAAATGATATGTTGTCGTTTCTTAGAGGACGATCAGTTTATTCTTTCAAACTCCAAATGTCTTTTTAATAACATCGCATAAGGAAGAGTGTCTCTTGTTGAACATCTCTTTCCTACCTCAAGTGACATTGCTAGCTCTCTTGAATCAGAAATGTAATATTTAGTATTGGGAGAGGGTTTAAGATACCCTCTTTGTAATGGATACCCAATGTCAACTAAATAATATTTTCTTAGTGTAAAAATAATCATTAGTATTGTACAAGTTGTTAATATTTCATTTGTTAACAGTCGAGCTAACCTATAGGTGGCTTCAAAATGTTATACTTTTGTGTTCAAATAACAATGTTGAAAATACAACTTTGTGTGCACTACATTCTCATCAGACCATTACAAATGTGAAGGAGATATTAAAATCACGTATAACCATCATATTCCGTGTTGGTGATCAACATCTTCCAATGTAAACAATCTTTTCACGGTTGGGCACATGTGCATCCATATTTTTTCGATCAATTGCTCCAATGCAATGTTAAAACAATTACCATATATATATTAAAGACATTGCATTCAACCAAATTTAGAGAAATATGAATATGTGAAACTATCGTAAAATATGACATATAACGTTGGTCCTATGAAATATGTACGGGTGTGTTTTGGAAGGTGAGATCTTCAATTACGATAACTTTTTATGATGAGCTGATAAGAGCATTTAATCCAACTGAGAAATATCTGTTGATAGTTTCATATGAGTATTGGAATCGCTCCATGACACCTCTCATGAACTTATTTTATGATAAAATATAGAGAGTTATAGCTAACACCTTTTTTGAAAACATCTTGGATGAGCCATGCATGACGTGATTTTCATGCAATTCCTCTAATAAATCAATGAAAATAGGTTGTTTCATTCAAAACATATTGTTAAACCTTATTGGCGATCAATTAACAACTTCTCAACCCACTCGTCGCCTATGTACGTAAAAGTCATGCAAGGATATCGAACAACATATGAGTTGTAATATTTATACAATAAACATTAAACAGCTGTAATTTTTCTCTTATGTCTTTCTCTATCAGTGATATTCATCGTTTATTCTTCTATCACATAAAAATAACATATAATTAGTTTTAACTGCAATAAATATAATAGGATAGCATATACATAACATTTATGCAAGAAATGCATTGAAGAAGTCCAAATAATAAAAAAAAACCTTAAATCAAAATATCATAATTTGGTTTATCAAATAATATGAAATTCACACATCTAGACCGTCATAATACTATTGCAAGTAATTAATCTTACGAGTAATTTTCAACATCATAAAAAAACTCTCTTCTGGTCGAACATTCTAACAACTTGATAAAGAATAAGTAAAACAACATGTCTCCATCAATTTTTTGGGTATCTTCCCAAATTCTCATAACCTGTTGAATAGAAGCTGTATGTGACCCTCTAAACTCACTGGTGCATCAAGCCACCAATTGAGAGATCTTATTTCTAATGAAAGCAACACCATCTCTTTTCTTTTTCTCAACTCTAAGACGTTTAGATCGACTTGTAGATCCTACTTCATGCTGGTAGGGGCTGGACCCCTCATTGGACCCAACATATTGCTTCACTTCTAAATGCTCGGATCGCTTTTTGCCCTCTCCGCTTGGTGCCCTTGCTTGATCACCAATGACCTTCACCGAACATACGGTCTAACTTATCTTCAAGCTTAGGGTCAATGCCACAAAACTTGAAATTTTTTTTTGTAACTGAGACCACCTACAAATCAATTAATAAAACTATAGATTAATCAATGAAAACATTAAAACTTTAAAATGATTTACATTTAAAACATTCTCAAGAAGCAGACTATCATCGCTGTATCCACTATGAAAACTTAATTTTGGGCATGCTTAGAAGCTACAATTTAGGGCTTATGGCTGCGGAATTTTATTTTAAGACTTAGAATTGTCGATAGTATTGCCAAACAATTGAAAATTTTCTACGATAAGTCCGAAACAATATTTTTTTCTAAAAACAATATGTATTCCAAATGTGCTAAACACATGAAATTAAAGTACCTTGTCGTTAAAGAAAAAGTTCTAAAAAATAAGGTGTCAATTGGACATATTAACACCAGTTTTATGATTGCAGCTCTACTAATGAAAAAGATTGCCACTAAAGACATTTAACGAACATGCGGTAAGAATGAACATTACCAAAAAACTTTATTAGTTTTGTGTTTAGTGCTCTTCACGTTTGACACTTTGAGCTCGTTTTATGTTTTTTATATTACGTATCTTGTTTTCTTATCGTTAGTGTGCACTTTATGTTTTGTGATATTTAACAATATTTGTCTTTTAATAGACATTATGAGATCATGATGTTATTTCTCATTTTGTTAAATATGTAATTGATATTGTGATATATGGAGGGGAGTGTCGATAAATTGATACACAACCGACATGATTCATATTAATTTTATACTTATTGATGATTTATGATATCATGATGTTATTTCTCATTATGTTAAATATATAATTGATATTGTGATATATGGAGGGAAGTGTCGATAAATTGATACACAACCGACATGATTCATATTAATTTTGTACTTATTAATGATTTAAGATTTGACCAATATGAAGAAAGAACTTACCTTATATTTTGTGCAGTATGTTATTCACTATTAAATATTACGTGGGTAAAGTGAGAGAATGTTAATTTCTTATTAATTTATTTGGGTGACCCATGATTATTTATCTTAATGATAATAATAATATATAAATTATGTAATTAATTAATTAAAAAATAAGGCTAATGTCTCTTCCAAACAGACATCACATCCTTTTGTTTTAGTTAATTAATTAAATTATCTTAAATCAAATTGGTCAGTAATCACCTTGATGCATGGTGGTTAATAACAGATAATTCAGAGAAGGGTCATGCTACTTCTTAATGGACACCATATCCTTTCTCTGATAAATAAGGGAAGAGTGCTCTTTTTCCTGATATATACCGCATCTTTTCTCTCAATCAAAAAGTACAAAAATTAATAAGGATTAAAGAGAAAAATTTCATTTATTCATATCTAATTATACAATCATGAATACAGATTCTCTTATTTATGGTTATGTTGTTCATTATGTGTTTTATAAATTTAGGTCATGAAATTTGATGATAAATTTAAAAGTAAATCCTAATATGGATGAAAAAAAAAAAATCTAATAGCAATCACTACTCATTCTTAATGTATTTTTTATTGTCAAATCATAACTCTCAGCATCACAACATATCCTACTATTCGTATACTCTATAACCAATATCTCTTATACATAGCTATAAAAGAGATTAAACGGAATAGAACTGAGCTATGTTTGGGGCAATTAAGGTTTTGCGCTATTAAATTATATTTTGTTGGTGTTCTTAAGAAAATGTGGTGAGAAAATAACATTTCGGTGGGAAGAGGTAGCTGCTGTGTGATCCTGCGGCAATACTGCTTTCAGCGATTGCCAGACGAGGCCATTCAACTGCTCCCATTTGGCGGCCTCCATGTCTAGGAGCAGCCACCAGGGCTATTCATGGGCCGTCGCCGCTGGAATTAATGCCGCTTTGGCTGCAGTCTCCGCCAAGCTTTTCTCTTCACTGGCAAATGCTTAACCTCTCTCTTGTCCTCTTTTCTTCAGCCTCGTTTTAAATCCTCCACGTGATTCTTTGCCGCAATCTGTTTTGTTTCATTTTTCTGGTCTGATTTGGCTCTTTTTGAACAGGATAGGCCTTTAGCTTTCTTCTCTTTTTATCATCGCACAATTTTTATCTGACGAGTGCATCGGATCTCGATATGATGGGAGAGGTGTCAAGCAAAACCCTAATCGCGTTAGCAAATTGGAAAAAGAAAAAACTGTTTCAACTTCTTTCATTTTATGAGTGAAATTAAATCGTTACTTTTTGAGGGTTTAAGGAGTTACAACCCAATCTATCTACGTTAACCAAATGATGGAATCCAGTAATTTTCACCATTCTGTGAAAGTTGCTTTCTATTTTTAAGAAACCAAATGTGCCCTGATGCTTTATCTGATTCATCATGGCCTTTGCATCAGTTTTTATGTTTCAGTAAAATTTAACATCTTGGTTTTCTAGATCCATTTGTTACTGTTTCAGGCTTTTTGCAGGATTTAGTGCATGATAGTTGTTGTTTAACATGAAGCATGAGGTTTATTAACTTTGAAGCTGTTTAGAAAATGAGTGGCTTATGAACTATATATTCCAGATGCAACATTGTGCTGTTTGTTGTGAATGGCACTTTAAATGGAATAACAATCAGCTAATCTTGTAGCTTTGTTATAATTATTAAGCATACACAAACTTATAATGTATCCAAAGCAAGAACCGAAGACAATGTTATAAGAGGGAATGATTTAAGCATTTTTATTCCATAGGTTTTCCTTTACTTTCATCGCTGAAGAGGGCCTAATGAAAGGACTGACATGTATAATCTCTCTTGCAGTTACTTAAATATGGCTTAGTCTTATTCTTCAACGCGACAATGTGGGGTTGCTATATCAATAGCCTTAAAGTGCTTTCATCTCTCCAAGCCACAGTTACAAACTTTGCAACTAACTTTATATCTTCAGGTTTAGCAGGATTTTTTCTCTTTCAGGAGCCCCTTCCTTCTCGGGTAAGTTATGCATCTTTCTTCAAAGGCAGAGTGTTCTCTATGAAAATCAAAAGAATTTAATGTTTTTGATAGTTGTTTGTTTAGGGGCTGTAATAGGCTAATAGTGGGCTTCTTTTGGTACAATCATGCTTTTGTTGTGTTGTATAAAACTAAATCATCATACTCTCTCATCGAATTACGAGTTACTCTATAAATTAGTCCATGTCTTCTTGAAATCATTGAAAAATGGACATATAAAATGGGAATTTTGTGACAACATTTATCAAATAAACCAAAACAGCTTTTAAAAAAAGAAGCGAGACAAATTCTATATCATACAAAGCCTCGGCCTCTTTCTATATGGACATTATATGTAGTTTACAATGCATTTTATTGGACCAAGCCATTCTCTGCATGAAATTGATCCCCATCTATTAATTTTTTTTCAAGTACTTACATGATTTTTGATTGATTCCGTTTTGTACTGCTTTTGAGGCATTGATATGTGCAGTTAAATGCTGAAATTTGTTAAACCAGCTTACGTCCAAATGATATGTTTTGTAGTTTTCTAAGTTATAGCGTGTTGTTGGAAATTTTTTTTCTGTTAGAGGTACTGAATTAATCTTTTATCGTTTATTTTCTGAAGTAATTACTGGCTTGTGTAACCAAGTGATATTCTGTGTAGAAGTAAAAGATTTATTGAAAACTTTTTTTATCAATATTTCTTAACCATCTTTTCTATATCCAATCATTATGGCATTGCATGTGTAGCAGCATCTAAGCTTATGAAAAACTTTTAAGGTGAATCAAATCTCATAAAAAGGTAGGTTTCTCTTTCCGAGACATGTCATTTGTTTTAAAAGCAATGGTGAATTTCTTTCTCCATCTCATCACTAGTAATTGTATTTTTAGTTGAGGTGTGACCAGGCCAGAGGTTAACTAAGGGAGTCGCAATTGATTGAATTTAAAGTCTTGTAATAACTAAAATTTTAAATAAATAAGTAAATAAATAAGAATTATAATAAATAAAATAAATAAATAAATAGGTGTCGGTTAGAGGAGATGCACCCCCTCGCATGAAACTTATTGCACGCTTCTTTCGTACTTCCCCTCATTCGAACCAGAGAACGAGCGAGAGGTTGTGCCCTAGCCGATCATTTGAGAAGGAAGACAAGAGGAAGGGGAAGGAACTAACGACAGTGAAGAAGGAGAGGAGGGAGATTAGAGGAGTCGTCATGCGTAGCTCTCTTACTTGATTCAATACGGAGCCTTAGCCAAAGGGAAACGATGTTGGGTTTGCATGTAGGGGAAGGGAGGAGAAGGCTCGTCCATTCAGTAAGAGTCAAACCTCATGTGCTGAAGGGAGGAGAAAGAGGCGGCGTCAAGTGCTTGCGTTGTAGTGTTGAGTCATGACTAAAGGCAAAGGAGTAAGGAGAGTCGAGGCTCGTGCGTGTGTTAGGGTTGTCAATTGAAAGAAAAAATCAAAGCTTATAAGTTCCGAATTAGAGGGAGATAAGAGTGACATGAATTTTCTTTACAAGGGAAGAGGAAGACTCGTGGGCATGTGTCTGCTGTTTTAATTTTCTTGGTATATGCTTTTTAAAAAAGGAGATAAATTTTATAAATATGAAGATAATTTTAATATAAATATGTAATTTTTGATTTTTGAAAGTAATATTTTAATTTTGAAATAGATGAGACCAGACGAGTCTCACATTTTGGATAGAATACCACAAGTAATACACTTATCCACAAGTAATACACTTATTCCGAAGAATAAACATATCATTTGTAGTAAACTCGATCACCTAAACTAAAGAATTTGTGACATTCGTTTGGAATTTTTTGATATTTATTTGTTTTGTGAAATTTTCAACGGATCATTTTCCTAACTAATATAAGGATTAGATAGGGTTTATTTTACCTGAGTTCCAAGTTCCCTATAGAGTCAGACCTCTATAATTAATTACATCTTAAATGACCGGGGTCACTTAAGAAAATTCTCGATTAAGATCAGTGGTTTTAACTTCTAGATTTTAAAGTTTAGGTTTTCAAGATTGAACACAGAAAAATCAAACGGGAGTGACTCAAACATGAACAATTATTTTAAGGAATCTAAAGGAGCGAAGAGTAGTGAATATCACAGATCCAGGGAGGCCCCGATGACCTCCCAACTATCCTATTATTGACTTTATGTCTTTAAAATAATATTATTCAATGTTTAATCTTGCAACTTATTTTAGAATTTAGGACTTACATTCGCACGATATTTGATCGTGCAAATGACCTAAAAAGATAGGAGAATTTACACCGTACCATACGGTAACCTCGGAATCCTAAAAGTGTTAGGGCTTATAATTGCACAACAGAGTTATGAAAAAGCCTAAAAGTGATATGTGAGGGTTTACGTTGCGCTAGACAAACCACCTCGAAATCCTATGGGTTGTTGTTTAAACTAAAGAAAGTGATCAGTGTTATGAATGTGTTTTGATGTTGTAGCTCTATCTTGAAGTTGTTCTTCTGAATGTCATCGTCGCAACACGTTTGAGTTTGTTGTTAATCCTATGTATTCACTAGGTTTTCCTATACTAAGGTATGGTGTGTAACAAAACAATTAAGCATGCAATTTAGAAGAAAAAGACAGTATAGTATACAGTAAAGAAAGAGAACAATATAGTGTGCTGGGAGAACAATATAACATGTTAGGAGAACAGTATAACATGTTGTGAAATAAAATGCTGTAATATAAATCAAACTTGTATATTTGGGAGACCTGCTGTTCCTTTAAGCGAACTAGTATTCACTGTATAAACAAAAAATAGATATTGCCTGGAAAATTCGAAAAAATCGATAAATAACCCACAACAAAAGACTCGGGAAAATCGACAAGTAACAATTCAAATAAAACTATCAAAGTTATGGGAAAATCCTAAGAGAAAAGAGACCAAGAGAAAAGAGACCACGAGTGCTTTGTCCAAAATCCAATAAAACTTACGAAAAATCCGAAAAGAGGGGACTGCAAGCACTCGGGTTGGGGCTAGGCTCAAATATAATATATTTATACCATATTTGTACTCTAGGGACGTCAAAGGCTACTATCGGTCACCCGGATGTATAGAACCCGTCACTGCACTAGAAGGATGTCCTACTGAATCTAATTTAAGAGAGTACTCCTTAGCCCGGTATCGGTAATCAATAAGTGGACAACCAAATTATGAAACTTTTAAAATTTATATTTTAGCATGCACATATATTTCAAGCATACAAAAGGAAAATTGTATTAATTTTATAGTAAAAAAATATTGTATATGTTCTTATCAGTTTGTTTTATCAATTTTTAAAAAAATATAGTTGTCCACGAGTCGATCACGTCATCGGACGTAGGACCGCCAACATCCTAAGAAGGTACGGGTCCTCCGCTAGCCTTGTGTTGGTGAATGATATTTTCATCCTACAGTTCATCAGATCACAAAATTGAGTTATGGTGTTGTAGGATGAGATATCATTCTGCTCTACCATCGGCGTGCCTTTGTCATCATCGCTCTAAGTCCCAAAACAAAACTGATCTACTTGCGATCTTGCTTGATGGTTTCATATATAACAAAAGACTATTAAAAAATTATATATGAGCACCTATGTATCAGACATAAGTACAGAAAATCGAACCAAAAAGCAAGAAAAAAAATAAAAATGAGGATGAGAGAGGAGGAATTGATCAACCCAAAAGATCGAAATAATAAAGGGTAAATTAACTCTCAAAACTGTGACAAAAAGATCTGAAAAAGAGAGCCCAAGGTTCTTGAATCAATCCAGAGGATATCTTCTCAAATTTTATATAACTGGATCAACCCAAGAAGAGTATCCTCTCCAAATTTAATTTCAAATAGATTGAAATGGGCCCAAAACTAACATAAGACTGTACTCATGGCTCCATCACCTGCATGTACTCACACATCCAAATCTGAACCCAAATGTGGTACTTATGTTATCCAAACTTTAATATTAAACTAATATTAAACCCTTTAATATTAAACCCCAAAAGAACTTTTTTCCAAATGAAAACTTTATGAGTTTTCAAATCCTTTCATGAATCGAATTTATTTTTTATTTTTTGTAAAGTTAAAAAATTTCCTGAAATGAAGTTGTAAGAGCCTTTCATATTTCACAAATCAGATAAAGGAAAATAATCCAAGGACAACAAACTTCTAAACTTCCAAAAATCATGTCAATATTAAAACCATTCAATTACAACCTTAATCAAAAGTTTGCAATGAGATATGAACCCAACACCACATATAGAAACCCAAACAGATGGTAGGAGCAACAGGAGGAGCCACCAACCACACTCAATCACACAGGAGCCACAGGAGCCACAGGAGAAGGCTTACGACCAGGGGTAGCAAGGGGAGAGAGAGAGAGAGCCAAGCCCAAACCATCCACGGCACAAACCAAGGGACCACAACGGTAAAGCTCACGACCAAGGCAATCAAGAGGGCAAGATGAGCCCGAATATACCCCCATCAGGCTCACGAGTAGGGACAACTACGAAGGACAGCCACCAACCCAAATTACCACATAAAGAAGTCACAAGGTAATGCTCACAGCCAGGGGCAACAACTACAAGGAGAACTAAAACCATGCTCCAAACTAATTTTTTAAATCATTAGAATAAATTTCCACATGTATTCGAATAGGGGCAGCCAAGGAGAATTAAAATCATGCCCAACAAAAGAGCATAAACATAGCCACATCTTAACCAAAACAAGCCTAACAGAGGGGGCCAAGAACATAACATAATTTCCATAAGACTGAGCTTAGTTTCAAGCCAAATCAAATCCAGTGAAAGGGCTAAATCGAGCCCAGCAAAGGGGCTAAACTAAGACATTTTAAAATAAAACCGAGCCTAACACAGGGCAAAACCGAGCCCAGCACAAGGGGGCGAACCAAGTTCAGCACAGGGGTAAAACCGTGAGTGAATCGGCCTAAAGACATTCAAAACAAAGATTAAATCAACCCCAAAA